TATATATATATAGAACACATCAAGTAGACACGATTGATAAAACTAACTCTGAATAGCTTTTCAAAAACAATGGTCATTAATTATCTTGTTAAAAAGCCTCAATGAATGAAAAGGAGAAAAAGAAAGAGAAATTTTCATAAAGCACAATCTTTTAGTAGTAATCAGTCATCTATAGATATCATTTGCTATATTATGGATTATAGATACTTTTTTCTGTGGTTATAAGATGTATTTGATGTATTTAAGCTATTGTATTCATGAATACAGTAGCAAAAATAGGCGTGAATCAGGGAAGTCCAGCTAATCAGTTGTTGTATTCGAGTGTATTCAACTGTATTCATGGAGTGAACACATGTGATTACAGCAGGACAGATTATTGTATTCGACAGTACTGATGACGTGAAATAGGGGATTATACTGCTTTTAAAACGGAAAGTGAATCAATTAACATAATAGACTCCTAATATAACTCAACAAACTCAATTATAACACACAAATTTTGTATTTTCAGTTATAAAAAAGATTCTTAACCGAATAATATCCCAAAAACATAGCAATCTTCAGAGAAATTATATAATACATCTGAATACATAAATTATATTAATTACAAAAAACATATGAATACATTCATGGCATATAGCGAGATGGTGAATACAATGAAATACATAGAATACAGCGGGATACATTGAAATACAATGAACAAAAAGATAGTGAATACAATGAAATACATGGAATACAACGAGATACACTGAATTACAATAGACAATGAAATACATGAAAATACATTGAAATATATTAACAGAAAATCAAGTTGCTCAGCCCCAAACTCCATCGTCTTTGTTCAAGAACAAACCCTAATTTCCGGCGAATCCGCCGTTCACCGGAAGCCGGTAGTGAAAACGCGCCACCTTCGTGGAAATTTTACTCTGAGTTGTTTGGCAATAAAAATTCCTTTAAATTATTAGAAGCACGCCCTAGTGGACCAATGTCGTCTTTTTTGCCAAAACCTTCTGGAGAAGGATCTCAAGAATGACTCCACAACGCAAACTCTTTCTGATTTCTTAGTTTTTTCGATACAATACCATTAATTGGATCGAAAAACAGAATCGGACCCTTGGTCATGGAATAAAACACAATTTGCGTTGGCTCATCATCTTTTTCAACAGTAATAACAACTTCAAAAAAAGTATCGTACGAATTAAACAATTTGAAATCAACATCTTTGAAGTGGGCTTTGCACAAATCCGGTGGAAGGAGGAGGAGATCGGAAAATTTAATGGGATGGGGAAGAGAATGAGATGTATCAAAGTAGAGAGAGAAAGAAAATAGTGTAACTGATTAGCATATTTAGTGGCTTAGGGCTAGGAGGTAACCAAAATTAAATATTTTGCTATAAACTTTAAAAGGTATCTATAGAATATAATTTTTTAAAATGATATTTATTTAAAATAAATAAGGTGTTAACCTTTGCTATAGGAGGTAAAAATTCCACCTTCCTCTCTCTTCCTATGATTACCTTGTGGATCGTACTCTCTCTCCGTTTATTTTGACTTTTCACGCCCCTTAAGAAATAATAAAGAAAGTGTATAAATTACCATGATACCCATATTAATCGATGCATATTTGATTGGATTTGAGAAAATGATTTGAAATGAGTAATAAATATTATGGATATAACATGAAATTTTTTTTGTCTTCTCTTGATATGCGTAAAGTGACAGGTAAAAATAAAAATCTATTTTTAGTATAAATACCAAGTAAAAGTGAACGGAGAGAGTATATTACATACTCGCAATAGCCTCATTACTTTTTAAAAGGAAATTATCTTCATTTACATCCATTGATTATTTTGCATTTTTTAATAAAATGGGCTTTCTGGATTTAAGTTATATGAGCAGAACTTAAACTTCTATTCAAATTACTCAGCCACAAGCTAAGTAGTGGACTAGGTTGTGGGAGTTTTTAAAGGAAAACAGAGAGCTAAATGAAGCAAAGTAGTCAAGTAGCGGATACCGGATAAAATAGTCAAGTGCGTGCCACCAACATTTAAAACAATAAAACATAAAAATGTAGATAGGTACGAGCTAGTAAAATCAACAAGCGATATCAGAGTGTCCATATGATTCTGGACATAAGATCATGAGTGATCGTTAAGTAATTGCGTCTAGTGAGAAAAAGAAAGCCTACAAGCTTACGATATCAAAAACAGATAAATCTCCTTTAGAAATTCCTCTACCTGCTTTTTTTTTTTTTTTTTTTTCCCCTTTTTCCTTGTCTGAGGTGATTCGACTGCTCAGTAATGCGATGCACCATTAAAGTTTACTGGCATTTTATTTGTATTGTAATTATAATTCTATCTGCAGCAGCCTTTTGTGTTTTTTTTTTTTTTAAGTTTTATTTGACAGCTTATGCTTCCTCTAGTGGAAGATCATTTTGTATGTTTTGCCAGCTCTGAGTGCTGAATACTTTTTGTTTTTGGCATTTGACCATCTATTTCTATGGGAACTTCATATGAATGTTCGTTAAGGCAATTTCTTTTTGATGACAAATTGCATATTAATACACCTTTGACTCTATATTCTTTATACACACTTAACTTCTTTTTTTCTAAAAATATATTTCTGAACGAATCAAATGTTAATAATGACTAGCTAGAAATGCTTGGAGAGTTAACAAAAATCATTACGGATGGAAGGATGGGAACACTTGAACTTCTAAGTTAAAAAGTTATGCCAACGAGGTTTATAGAGGAGTGACATCGATGAGAGTCCTTCATATAATAAGTGTATATTCAATTGTCATCGACCCTTTTCCATTTTCCCTAATACAATAGTGGGAAAATACCTTAATAGGCGCATTGGAGCATAGTGTTCAATTATAACGTGGTGGTTCATCTTCCCTCCGCATTATTCGTGGATCCATCAAACCCCAAAATAATAATTTTTTTTTAAAGAAAAGAACCTTAAAGGCATCCCTAGAGGGGGGCAATGAAACGTAACTACTCTTACTATTCTATAGATGATAATTTGTGTTGAATTTAGCTAAGGGAATGTCATTAATAATGATTATGTAAAGAGTAGTGAATTCTTTTGCAAGCATCAAGAGGGTCACCGTTTGTCTGTCTTCTTTGGACAAGAGGGCCAACACTTTTTCTTTCATTAAAGTTTGCTTCCTCAAATGTCCAAAGATAGTATAGTAGTATTGATTAAGTTAGGCATCAGAATTGTGAACATCAAAGAACAGGAAAAGAAACAAAAACAAAAACAAAAATATACTGTAGTATCTAATATTTTATCATACAACTTTGTCTTTATACTTTCTTTTTGCTGCTAGGTATAAAGCTAGCTATAGCTTGAGCTGCATTCTTCAATAATTCATTTGGAGCCATCTGTTTGGCTTTTTCTTCCAATCCCAGAATATGATCTCTCTGACATTATATTAGCTCTTCCTGTTTCTCAGGATTAAGTTAAAGCCCTTTTCTCTGCAATTTTTCCTGCAAAAAACAGATTGGTTCTTCATATTCTAAATTGGCAAATCCTGAGATTCCTTTGATCCTTCTTCAAGGTGATAGTCTGAATTTTATCACATTTCTTGATTCTTCTATTCAACTTAATTATTCCCTTTGTTTTCCTGTTGTTTCTTATTTTCTGTAAAACTTTCATGCTATCATCTCAATATGGTTCTTTTCTTAGTATCATACTACAAAATTTTGCTCAGTGCCATTGTGTTAATAGTGTTAAAAAATGGGAAATATTTTATGATGCAGCTGATACATTATGATAACTAATATGCTGATACAGGCCAGTGGATAACACCTACTGGCAGGGGAGTACGCAAAAAAAATTGTAAGTGGTGTCAAAATTTATAGAAGTACGAAAATAATAACTTCAGTTATGATAACTAATATGCTCTCTCAAATAAATGCTAGTTGAGGTTTGAACCTCTAACCAACACACTAAGAGACAATTTATGTCAAGTGGTGTCATTTTTTCCTATTTATCCATTTCCTCACAATATTAATAAATATATTTAGTGAAAAAATTCGACGAAGCTACACCGCTTCGTTAAGTGTACATCCGCCCCTGCCTACTGGTACTTGATAATGTAGTGTAGATTGTTTGTGCTAGAAAGGAAAAGGTATCCATAACTAGGCTAAATACCTTCTCTGGGAATCATCATTTGGTATATATACTGATAAACATTATTTGCCATTAGCAGTATAATTCAAACATTTGTAGCATGTTAGTTCTCTATTTTCCTAGTTAGCATATCATATGCAATAAAGCTTAAATGATCTTCTGGTACTTAACAACTGCTCTATTTTTCCTACCAGGATAGGCCTTGTATCCATTTCAAGTAGTGGATTAATTATAAGCCAGTGCCTAGTAGTAGTCAGAGATAGAGCCCTTTGGCTCCATTTATAGAGGTTTGATCAGTGAAGTAAGAGGAAATGAGTGAGTTTGGTTCAGAAAGTCCAAGGGCGTGGAATATATACACAAGTTCAGAATCACAAGCACAAGGGAAGAATTTAGGGTCATCGGCGAATGCCATTTCATTTGGATTTGTAGCTACAGCTATTCTCATATCCATGTTTCTTATCATGGCTCTCTTTGAGCATCTCTTTAAGCCTACTTCAGATATCGTCGACAGTTCCTTGGAATCAGGGCCACTTGAGAAACTTGCAGGTTCCCAAAGAGTAAGGGTTTCTGATCACTAATCTTGAAATAGAGGAATGAATCTGTTTCATACATGCCAATCCTATATACTCTTGGCCTAAGTTTTCGGCAAAATTAGAGTGAGATCTCTATTTGAATGTAGGAATAATTGGCTGATCTGTGTGTCACATGAGTATTCTGTAGTTTTGTATGAACAAATATACCAATGAATCCCTTGTTCCTTTTTCTTTTTATGCAACATATGTTTCTTGATCCCGGAACTTAGGTCCTCTAGGATGAACTGAATACCTTGTAATACTGAACATGAAATATAGCAACACAAGTAATTATGCTTCTGAAGTCGTAGTATCTGACTGATTACTAGTATATTATATCTTTCAGGTATCAACAACATCATATGCATCGGATTACACTGTATTGATGCCAGGACAGCAATATCCGACCTTCATTGCCCAGCCTGCTCCACTTCCTTGTGCAAGGGAAGCAGTTTATTGGCCTTCCCATGATCATAGTTTTGCCTTCCCCTAGGTCAAAGGACTATCATTGTTATTACATACTTAACTCTTACGAATGATCAAGTAGTCTCGTCCTATCAATGATCTACTATGACCGGAAAGGGAAGCCACAAAAGGAAAACTGAATTTTGCAATGTAGAGAAACAAAGGAAAAATCTTTGATGTCAACAAAACTCCCCTGGGCTGAGCTTCAAAATTTATCTTCAAGTTGTGCTCGCAACTGCATGTGGATGGCTAAGTGGTTGCGTACAAACGAAGTCCCGTCATCACTACTGGCCTCTTGCCAACATCAACCTGAAAGCGAGTAGCTATAAGCAAGACTATTCAATAGTATATATATGGACTACAGTTCTGAATTGGTACATGTTTTGGCCACTGTATCAAGCTTCCCAAATTTCTATCATCTTTCCCACCCATGTCTAATCCAATTGCTACTAAAACGAATGAACATCTCTCCTATATATTGCTTTCTAAACTTAATTACCAAGCTAAATGGATGCATGCTAAATAACAGTGAATTCCTACAAGACCAAAACATTTTGCTATACTCTAAGCTGCTCTCTATTCTCTATTATTCACAATGAAGGATATGGAGGATTTTGTTTCTCCAATAAAATACGTTTTATTTGAACTGGAACTTCTCTTTAAAAGGCTTTTTTGGGACTTGTCCGGGAGCGGGACACTATCAAAACGCCTTGAGACTCGTGCGGGGCTTAGTTCTATGAGACTTACAGCCCCAAACGCCGTGCGCCCTAAACATCTTAACGCTCACCGCTCGGGACTCGCCCAACCAGAGGCGGACCCAGGATTCAAGCATGGCGGGGGCACCACTGTATATGCTAATCACCAATGATAAAATTCGGCGTGCAACTCTTTGAAATTTAAATGATTATGATAACTTATCATCCAAGTATTAACAAAAAGAAGTTCTAAAGAAAAAGAAAGCACTAAACGGGGGGGAAGAGAGAATTCTTCGCAATAGGGCATTCAAACGTAAAATTATAAAAGACTTACTAGAGAAATTAAGATTAAGAGTATGTTATTACTAAAAGAATTGAAGAAGAGTCTCAAACTCTTAGTTTCTATTGCCAATTCAAAGTGATTGTTAAAGAAGATTGTGG